AATTATATATTCTATCTCTACTATTAGTCATATTTAAATTTGATGTTATAAAATACAAAAGCAATGTGTAAAGATAACATTTTCCTATCAAAAACTTAAACTAAAGTTATAAATAAATTAATCTTTATAATTGAGTAAATGTTATATATATAACATTTACTCAGTTATAAATGTTATGTTATATATGTTATGTTTATAACTTTTTTTTTTGAAGTTGATTAACTGAGTAAATGTTTTGGGTAACTGAGTAAATGTTATATATTTAATGTATAAGGTGTAGTATTTAAAAACCGTTTTTTTTTTTTAAATCAAAGAAACAACATTTTTTTTAGTGAAAGATTATAGATGGTTTATTCAAAGTATTTTCCATTGTTAGCTACACATTTTTCCCATCTTTCAGGCAACTTACAAATTCCATCTTGATAAAATTGTTCATTTTTTGAAGCGAACCACTCATTGACCCATTTTTTGACTTCTTCAGCTTCATTGAAGTGGTGGTCTGCAAGCTTAAATGACATTGATGAAAATAAATGGTAATCGGATGGAGCCAAGTCTGGTTAATATGGTGGGTGCGGTAATTAATCTCATTCAAGTGCATTTAATGTATTTTCACATCTTTTGATTTGTGTGGTCAAGCATTGTCATTTTGCAAAATCACTTTTTCATGCTTATTATTCCATCCCGGTCAATTTTCAATCAATGAATGGTTCAAATTGATGATTTGTTGTCGAAAGCGTTCAGAGTGAACCGTTTGACCAGGTTCCAGTAGCTCATAGTACACAATTCCCTTCGTTAAACACACAGCATTCTCTTCTTTCCAAATCAATTTGTTTTTGCAGTCGATGTTGATGGTCATCTCCATTTTTCATCTCCAGTAATAATTCGATAAAACTCTCTTGCTTTTGAATGAGTATTTCGCAAATGGTTTTTTGTCTTTCTTGCTGTCTTTTGTTCAATTCATGTGGAACCCATTTTCCCAGTTTTTGGATCTTTCCCATATTTCAAACGATTAAAAATTGTTTTTTGACAAACATTTAATGCTTCTGCCAATTCTTTTTGAGTTTGTGAATTGTCTTCATTCAATTATTCTTGCAATTCCCTGTCTTCAAACTTTTTTTCTTGACCTGGACATTGTTTGTCTTTCACATCAAAATCACCACTTTTAAATCGTTTAAACCAGTCTTCACAAATTGTTTTCGATGGAATATGTTCACCATAAGCTTCCTCAAGCATTTGACAAGCATCAGCAGCAGTTTTCTTTAAATGAAAACAAAAAAGTGAAGCCTCCTGCAAAAGACGCTTTTCTGGTACAAAATTTGACATTTTTAACGTAATAAAAAACAATGTTGTTGTGTGAGACGCGTTCAATTGACAACTATTTTTTGTAGAGGAATGTTACAGCTGTAAAAAAAAATTGAGTACTTTTTCGAAAAAAACGCTATCTATGTGCCAAACCCGGTTTTTAATTCACACCTCCCCACAACAGTGTTTATGTTTCAAAAAAGTGCACACGCCCAAATTAAGTTTTTCTAGCAAAGTATAATTATAGTGATCACAAAAAAGTATTTCACAAAATTTGAAAAGTGTGTCCTGAAAAAAAATGATGCTTATTGTGATATAAAAAAAGTGAGTTTTTCTCTCATTAACATATACAGAAAATCAACAGGTTTAGTGTCAACATGTTTTCATCTCCAAAGTAATAAAAATATTAAAAAAATCATCTATTGCTTTTTCAAAATCCATACTGATCTTGCTAAATCACGAGTAAGCCACAGTATCGAAAGCATCAAAGGCATCACAAAATTATAAAGCATATTTGTTAATCTCATCAATTTCTTACACTGGTTTTCTTCAAACTCTCCACCGTGAAGCTTTTGTCTGACAAGGTAATTCCTTTCTAAGAAGATTTTCCAATTTTCTTGTCCCCATCTTGTTGATAAGTTATTCCACAATAGATTAATTGTTCCTGTATAGAGATGAAGGTATATTCATACTTCCATAACTTCAGTTTCATCATCCTCCTGGCAGAAGTGGTTGGTTCTTGCATTACATTCAAAAGTTACTTTACTAATTCAAAAATGACATAAGGTTCATCCTATACTACAGAAGTCATCAAATAAAAATTATAGATCTTATTACTTATTAAGCTGATGAAGCAGAGACAGATTATTAAGATTTGAGAGTACCTCATGGCGCGAGTTCAAAAGTATAAAAAGAAAAAACATGCAAAATCCTAACTGAAAGGCCAAGTATGGTAATGACTCTGCCAAGTATGGTGAAAAAGTCTGTGTAAATGCGCACGAATGGGCAGCAGCAGCGTTAAGTTAAGCAATAATATAAAGTGGTTAAAGAATAAATTAAGTTTAAAGCGGAATCATGCACGGAACAGACAAACATAAATTTTAGTTACTAGGTTAATAAACATTAATTCCTCGAAAATATAAGTTTCATCAACATACTATTTTTTTAAATAATATTTTAAACATTAGTAAGAGTTTCCAGAAAGTTACAGAATTGTACTATGTATCATAGAGTCACTGCAATTGTTTAAATGCAGTTCATGAATGCACTAAAGTCATGCATTGCAAGCCTTCCCAGGAAAGGTGTGCGGTTTTTTCTCTCGTACGTCCATGAAAACGTTTTTTAATTTAGACAACTTGATCATGGCCGTTTGTGCAAGTTTTATTATATGTGTTGCTGAAAAAAGTTTTTTAATTTAGAAACTACATAAGAAGTTAAAATAAAACTTAAATAGAAAACAATAATAATAGTTTAAATAATTTGTGTGTTGTTTTTGTTTTTTCTTAGTGGTTATTATTATCGGCAGCAAAATTCAGTAAGTTAAAGCTAAAAAAAAAACAAAAAAAAACGGTTTTAAGCATTAAAAAGGATGACTTTCCTATATTTTATGTGTTTTTTCTTTTAAAGAGGAAAGAGAAAATATGTATCATCATCTGATTGTAAAATATATTTGTATAATTATAATGTAATAAGTATATATCAAGGGTTAAATTATACGATCGCAATTTGCAAACTCTGGTAAAATATTTGGTCTTTAAATTTTTAGTTCATGCAAAGCTTTGTTTACAAGGAGCAAATTATTAAAAGTTTGCTAGCGAGAAAGTTACAAAAAACAAAACAAAAACAATAAACTTACGACTACAAAAGTAATAACACTTTAGTCACTAACTGTGCTTTATAAAAGTAATAAAACTATAACAGTGTTATTAAATTTATAAAGCATTTATTAATTTTAAATTTCATTCTTTGTTCAAACAACATTATTAATTCCAAACATTTATTAAAGTAGAAAAGTATCTAGAAAAATTAAAGCGGATATTAAAATATTAATAAAAATTTCAGAAACTTTTACAGATAACTTAAACAACGTTCTAAAAGAGTATTTTATAAAAAATATAGCATTATGAAAAAGGTTATGTAAAAACGCTCGTTAATTTTAAAATCAACCAATAAAAAAGTTTTGTTGGTTAATTTTAAAAATAACGCGCGTTTTTATGGTCCATTAGTAACGTTTTTCATAATGCTAAACTTTTAATACGTTACGTTTTTATAAAGTTGTTTGTCAGGTTTTTATAAGTTATTTAAGTTTTAAATATTACTTGAACATCCACTTTATTCTTCTAGATATTTTTCTACATCAATTTAAATTTGAGATTACTTATGTTGCTTAAACAAAGAAGGAAATTTTAAAAGTTATAAGTGTGTTATAAAGGTAATAACACTATTATAGTGTTATTACTTTTGTAATGCAGTTAGTGACAAGAGTGTTATTACTTTTGTAATCGTAAAGTTTATTGCTTTACTTTTTATTTTTTCGCTTACAAATTTAAGTTGATTCGCCCTAAAATTTTGATTACTAGATATTTTTCCAGATTTTGCATTTCGCATTTGCTTAATTCAACCCTTGTTATTACATTATTATTGTTGTTACATTAAAATTATGCAAATATATATTTTTTTGCTTCGCCTTATCTATTTTTGTTGCTGAATGTAACAACCACTCTAAAGAAACAAAAATAAAAATAGTACACAAATAATTTATACTATTAATATTTTTTTTATTTTTCTCTTTTTATTTTTTTATTTTTTTATTTTTTTTTTTGAAACTTTTTCAGCATTGATAATTTATAAAACTTGCGAACGGCCGTGTTCAAATCGCACGCCTTTCCTGGGAAGGCTTGCATTGAAGTTGCCAGTTTGTGAATTTTGTGTAATTATTTTTATAAAAAATAAACTGTTTGTGTTTTTTCAAGTGAAATATTATATTTCTACAACTCACATTTTATATATTTTTGATAAGAAATAGCAAAGCTTAAAATAAAAAAGATTCCATTAAATATTTCTAGTTAGAGTAGCGTTTATCAAATTATTCTTGTTAGAGCGTTAGAGGTATAGCGCTTATTAAATTTTTCTTGAATTTTTGAAAATCGTTATATATTTTTCAAACTATTGCAACATTAACATGCCAAAAAAATAAATGATAAAAATATATATAAAATAAAATGATAATATAAAATAATATATATCTATAAATAAATAAATATATATATCTAATTTCTTCAGGTAGCCTAAATATGATTAAAATATTTTTCTTATAATTGTTCTGGAAGAAAATCATAAAAGTATGCATTTAGCTTTATGTCCTTCTAATTTTTAAAACAAAGAAAAATAAAAAATCATGCACAGCATTAAAATGCCCTTTTGAAAAAATTTTCCAAAAAATGTTTTTTCTAATGATCCACGCTTCAATGTATCTTTAAACTATATATATATATATATATATATATATATATATATATATATATATATATATATATATATATATATATATATATATATATATATATATATATATATATATATATATATATATATAAACTAAATTTTAAGTAATTTGTTAGTGTTTTTATGATGATATTTGTATAAAAAAAGTTTTATAAAATGAATATGTATACCATTATTGATATTTCAAATTTTAG